CAATTCTGTCAATTGAAAATGAGCGAGCCCGAAAAATAAATTTCGATAAAACTATTGATGATTTTGCTGCTATCAAATCGAGAAAAAAAACGTTTTAGAAATAAGAGCAGGCACTTGATGTTTGTGCAATGAATTCTATAGTGATGTTTCGGGTGATATAGATTTATGGTCAGCAATTAGTAATTTTTTATGGTAGCAATGATAATTATATCAACGGATTTAAGGAAACCATGAATGTAGAAGTATTCGCGATTTCGAGATGTATGCATTCCATGTAACTACGTACCTGATCAAATATATGGAGTATTGTGACAAAAATTGATATAGAAAAAAGTAAAATAAAAAATTATGATGTTCATTTCGTAGTTTGACTCAGCTCATCTCTAACAGCATAGTTTTTTTTTGAAGTCATTTTTTGAAAACAGAAAACTGCTAAGGGGCCCCTCGACTGTGGGGGCCCCGGTGCGCCGCACCGCTTGAACCGGCCTCGCTACGGCCCTGCTGGTTGTTGATTCGACAATTTCCTTGACAAACTCATCTACCAAAAGGTAAAACGTTGAAGTTTGTCTTTGAGAAAAGTTCACATAATGGAGTGTAATACATATACAACATGCCTATAAGCGTTATACATAAATAAACTCTACAAAAACTCCGATAATTGGCAAAAAATCTTGAACTTCTTAAGTTTTATTGATATAAATAAACATAAATCTGTTTCGAGTTAGTTTATAAATACAGTCGATTACACGTTAAAAAACTACCCTTTATCATCTTGAATTATGGATTTAAGTTAGGGGAAAAAAGTTAAATGTACCTGTCATAAATTGTATTCTGATAGCAGTTTATCTGGATTTGGAACTATAGAAAATATTTCTTCGAAAGGGCGATACTTTTAGAAACATAAATTAAAAAAAAAATAATTTAATCGTAAATTAATCTTTATCTGGACATGTTCCATACAATTTTCATGTTTTATAGATTTTACTTTTTATTCGCGATACAAACAAGAACTGTTTCATATGCCCCCATAAACCTATCATTATTTTAGTTATTCTGAATTACACCTCGTTCATATTACATTTTCAAGGACTGCCACTTAATATTCCTTGGAAACGCAACGTCAATGAACTTTGGGAAACACTAACATGTGAAGAGGGCGAAATTTACAAATGTTTATACCAGTATAATAAGATAAAACAACAGACAAACGTTTTCCCGACTTATTATTCTTTGCATGGAAAAATCTGGTCCATTTACTGGACCACCCTTAATATCAACCCCATATAACGTAATATTTAAAGGATTTAACATCACATAAAATAATGGAAAGTTATACGACGCTTTTATTTAATGATATAAAAATGTTTATTACTTCGTTCAATTCTAGAGCTTTTATGATTTTTCTCTAGTTGAACTGGATTGCTAAATTACTTACACAAGAAAATTTTATTTCCTGACCGAAGGGTGGTGAAAAATAGCGTACGCGCCAGGGGAGTAAATAAAAATGCCGCCTGACGTATGAGACAGTTTTTACTTTCCCGTTTTTCTGCCTAGATACGTAATTTACTAATATCATCACGGAATCCAAGTCGTTTTGGCTACGTATATGGGACTTAAAATGTACCTACAACGTCTAACCCACTATTGGTTCAAGCAGAAAATAAAGCTTCCTACATCCCTTCTTGTACTAACCCTTATTATGTCTTGTCCAATTATTATTTAAAGAAAATGTGATAGTGATAGATACTTAGAATTAACATACATATTACTTTTTGTACATTAAATTCCTAGAATTTTATTACTTTTTTCTGTTTTTTAAAAGCTAAGAGGTAAGAAAATTTATTATCTTNTATCCAAGGATGGTACTATAGAATGTCACCTCAAGGTAGGCCTAGTGGCGTCATCTCTTGGTTAGGCCGGAAACTTATCAATCCACCCTCGTATATCGCCTTTTAAGATACGACTTTCTGGCATTAGCTGACCATTAAAGAATGGAACTTATCTTAGAACATTACATCACTAAAATTTTGATGTATGTTTGGTCAAAGGTTCATATATGTAATATACAAGTGTTATGTACTATTATTGCCGATACCATCGGTTTAAGGATAAATACTCTGAATTTCGAATAATCGCTTACAAAATTACGATGTTTACTTAAGGCCTTAAATAAAGTATTTTCGCGTACTTTGTGTGTCTTGTAAAGTATAACGTACGCACAGTCGAAATAGAGTACAATACTTTATAATAAAGTACGGGTGGCAACCCTAATTA